GGGGGCGTGTTCCACTGAGTAATTTTTTCCTGAAAAGGGAGCAATAGGCCAAATAAGCTGTGGAACCTATGCTCCAGAGCCATGGCATGAGGCTAAATGACAGACGGACAGAAGACAAGCCAGCAAGACTAAGGACTAGACTGAAAACAGTGAAGAAGGGATGGAGCTACGAGCTCCTACCAGCCAGCATGGCCCAGCACGGTCAGCTTAAGACAAAGATAGGACGAACATAAAAGGCAACTCCATGGAATCCGCAACAGGACACAGAGCCCAGTGCAGACATACCTGGATTGGAATAAGGCTGCAGCCAACAAACCACGCACAGACACCCAGCCTCTCTGAATTGCGAATGATGTCAAGAGAATGTGCTTTAGATTCTTTTTTCCAAACTATGTTCATCAGCATGAGCGTATCTATCTCTGCTCCTTCACTTCTTCCCCTCCCCGCCCACATTTCAATTCTGACTTTCAAAAGAGTCCATGATTGAAATACATTTAACAATTTGTTAAATTTGATATTTTAATGTGACAAGGCTAGGGCAACGGGAAAAACAGAAACATCGCTTGAGAAGTCTACACTAAGGAAAGGCCACGACACCTCCTATCAAACGTGTAAAAAGCTTCTGAAGGCCCGCGGTTTCTTTGTGCTTAAATGCTACTTCTCCAGCTTCGAAGCAGTTTCATCTGAACCCAGGGAGAAAAACGGATTAAGAAATACGCTGAGCTAAAAAATAAAAAACATGAAACAAGGTATGCACTTATAAAAATCCTGTTAAAAGAGTATTCAGATAATGTACAAATTATACTTTTGGTTTGGAAATTGCATGATATCTAAGTAATTATGTGAAAATATACAGGTATTTTTAGATTTTCACAGTACTCATTGATCACAATTAAACTGTATATAATAAAGATATTAATACTAGTAAAACTTTAAATTGCTTAAGAAAAGGCACGATATATGAGATGAACCCAGATACACCTTGAGATATAAAGAACCCACTGAAAACTAAGCTCGACGGAGTCTGGGCTGTCTGTCTGTCTTTAGATCCTGAACCTCTTTTCTGCACAGCCACAAAGCCGCTTTGACTTGCCAAGACCTTAACTGCTACTCTCTGAATTTGGTGACCCCTGGCTACAGCTTCAAAATATTCTAGAGTAATTTGAATTAACATGGTGAAATATTTCATTTTAATTTTAGACTACCTTACTAAGACAACACTGATTCTATCAGTATCATAAGTTCTAAAGTCAAGCTTGGCAAGTCAGGAGTTCAATCGCTTAAAATTGAGTTAACAGTTAAGTTGAAAAATGTAGTTTTAAGGGAAAGAAATTGTGTTTCCGTTAAGAGACATGCCAAGGTGCTAAAGTGATGATGCTCTTACCTGGAATCAGGTCTGCATAGGTCAAGCTAACATATAAGATACTGATAAGTATTTTGTCAGCAAGTGGATCAAGAGCACTTCCAAAGCTGATTTTTGATTGGCCCAGTTTCGAGCAATAAATCCATCCAACTGAAAATAGAAGGTTTTCAAAAAAAGAAATGTCATAATAGGTACAGAGTAGATTGTCTATCGGATCAATACACTTTCATAAAATGCTAATATAATCTTTCTTACCCCCAAATAGTCTTATTGTCCCACTGGAATACATTTAGCTTTTCAAATAGCAACCTTGTTAGTCTTAAAAACATTATGGCATGGAAGTATTTTTACAATTCTACACAAGAACATGTATTGCCCTTGACAGATACTGTGTGTTTTACCGATTGAAGGTTTGTGGCAAGCAAGTCTATCAGGGCCAGTTTTCTAAAAACAGGTGTTCGTCTGTGTCACATTTCTATAATTCTCACAATAGCTTTAACTTTTTCATAATGCTATGGCACACTTAATGGACTCCACTGAGTTCATTCTAATTCATGTTGACCGTCGACCCTACAGGACAGGGTAGAACTATGGGTTCCAAGACTGCAAATCTTTACCCCAAGGAGCAATTGGTGGTTTCAAACTGCTAACCTCAAGGTTAGCAGCCCAACGCATAACTCACTATGCCACCGGGGCTTCTAATGGACTACAGTATAATGTAAATATAACAAATATGCATTGGGGAACCCAAAAATTCATGTGACTTGTTTTACCATGCTATTCGCTTTATTGTGGTGGTCTTAACCCTCAATACCACAGGTCTATTTGTAGTAAAAGACTATTGTATGAAACCTGAACAGACATATGCTCTATGTACCATGTAGCTGCATAAGATATATAGTTTTATTGTTTCATACATACTCTTCAATCTGCTTCCATTACTTCACAATGGTTTACACAGCAAGAACATAGATAAAACTATAAAGGACACAGACATGGGAATAAAAAGGTAGATATAAACTACAAATGCACATATAATCATATACTATATACAGGTTTAGATTTGGATCTGAGGTTCAAGAGTTCTAACTCCACTGCACACTTCTGGCCTACGATTTAGTCTCGGAAACCCACAAGGGCAGGTCTCCTTTGCCCTATAATGTTGCTGAGTGGGAATCTACTTGGTCCATTCATCCACTAATGAGCATTTACAGTTTCTCCCCACCTTCTGGCTATCATCATAGTGCTGCAGTGAACACGCGTGTAAAGGTGCATGTTTCAGTCTCTGTATTCCAGTCTTTGGGTGCATGCCCAGGAGTGCACCTACTGGGGCACAGTAGTTTTTAGTTTTCTCAGGAGCCACCGTACTGTTTTCCACAATAGCTGAACCATTTTACATTTTTACCAGCATTTGGATAAAGGTTCCTACTTCCCAACATTGGATATCATCTAGTTTGGAGGTTTTATGTTGCTGTTTTTTAATCTTAGACCAGTGGTTCTTAACCTTCCTAATGCTGCAACCCTTTAATACAGTTCCTCATGTTGTGGTGACCCCACAACCATAACATTATGTTCATTGCTACTTCATAACTGTCAGTTTGATACTGTTATGAATCAGGCGACCCCTGTGAAACGGTTGTTTGACCTCCAAAGGGGTCACAACCCAGAGGTCGAGAACCGCTGTCTTAGACCACCCTAGTGGGAAAGAGCCCTAGTGCTGCAGCAGTTACACGTTGGGCTGCTAACTGCAAGGTCAGCAGTTTGAACCCACCTTTCACTCTGCGGAGTCAGCTAGGGCTTTCGACGGTTGAAGAGTTAGTCTTGGAAACTCAGAGGGCAGTTCCACCCTGTCCTACCGGGTCTTATGTGTCTCAGTCGCCATGGGCTCACTGCAGTGGGTTTGGGTTTGGGTTTACCCCAGTGGGAACAGAATGGCATCTTTTCCTAACAGTGCTGAGCATCTGTCATGCACTTGGTGCCATGTGAAGGTCCTTTGGTGACATGTCTTTTCAAGTTCTGTGCCCATTTTACCACTGAGTTATTTGTCTTATTAAGTTGTCAAAATTTTCATATATTTCGGTTATTACTTGTAGCAGATAGATGGCTTCTGAAGACATGCTCCCAGTCAGGAGCTTGTCTTTTCAAACTTTTTGGTAAGGTCTTTTGATGAACAAGTTTTTAAATTGCATGAGGTATCATGTCTCTGGTTTCCTTGAAAAATAAAACGATCTTTTCTTAAACTTCCTCGTAGTCCCACAACCTGCTTGCAGACCATTCATGTTCTCTACTTTCCCTGGTCCCGTGCCCTGGCTGTCTGTGCCTGGCCTCCCTCTGCCCTCAGCAGTCCTCTCCCTTCTACTTGGTCATTTCCACTAACAACAAACTCCCCCGTATGTCGCGCCATTCAAATCTGACCCCCTGCTCTTCCCCTGGCTTCTCTATTGCCCCCCAGAGCAAAACGTCCTCAGCCGTGTACTGTTACGTCACCGTTCTGGACTCAGATGGCCACTCCGCTAGGGCCAGTGCTCCTCACACGTCACCAAGGCAGTCTTTATTCCACCTTCCTTGACCTGGGCACAATTGCATCACTTTCTTGACCAAGCTTCTGGGGCGACCCAGTCTCATCTTCCACCCTCCTCACTGGGTCTTCCTTCTCAAGCCCTTACTCCCTACTCCCCCGTTCTACTCGGGACCCCCGGCAAACCTCTCTGACTCTCTCTCCTTCACCCTAGCCTACATGATTTCGCACACGGACTTGACCAACTACGTGCTGCTATCTCTCCAACCTGTTGGTCACGAAAACTTCCTCCAAATCCAACTGACTCAACTGCCCACATGATAAAACCGTCACCAAGTCAAGTCCAAGGCAGACCAGCCAACAGAACAGAGTTCAGCTGCTCCTGTGGGGTGTCAAGGCTGTAAATGGTTATGGGACAACACGTCTCATCTTTCTCCTGAGAGGTGGCTAGTGCGTTCTAACTGCTGACCTGGCGGTTAGCAGCCTGGAGTGTAACCTACTACACCTTAATTCACATATGGTTCACCGGAAAAAATGTTATCTCCAAGCACCTGGCTATTGAAAAGGAACTGGCCTAGCAGTCATGACTCCCTTTACGTGCTCCCTACGTCCAGTCATCAACATATCAACCCCATGTATCCACAACGCTCCAACTCCATCCAACCACCAGTCAAAACTGGATCCCCTGCTCCAGGCCTCCCTCCCCGCCTTTCCGCAGTCCGTATCTGCGCAATACACATCAGATCACGCCGCTCCCCTACTTAAGCCCTCGATGGGTCAGCTGACCAATCCAGAGACATCAAAACTTCCATGGAATGAAAGGTAAAACACATTTGGGAGAGCCACGTATATTCTATGTAATTCGGAAAGTGTAAGATAAACGGAGACTCGATGGCCGCACTTCAGTGACTGTCACAATCTTCCGTGGCAACGGGGCTGAGATCCAAAGGGCCCGCAGTCTGAAACGGCCAGCAGCTGCTCCAGAGAAAGACGGGGCTCTCTACTCGGGTCACAGGGACAGCCTGCTGACCCTGGGGTCGCCACGAGTGAGCACGGACTCAATGGCACCGAGTCTGGTTTTGGAGCAGATGGCAATTCAGAGGGAAATGAGCTCACCACTAGTAAAGACTTCGTTAAAAAAAAATCATTATCAGTATAATGGCCTTTGACAGACTTACAAATCATATTAACAATGAGCACAGCCTGCAGGCTTCAGAGATAAAAACGAGGACAAAGAGAGGGATGATGCGAATGGGGTGAGGTCGTGACAAATCAGGGACAGGTGCGATATCATTAATGCCAATCCCCTCCTGCTTACCCTGCACACAATTCAGTTAATTCTACTTTGCTCAAGGATTCTACTGGGATTTTGTTCCTATGAATGTCCAAGAAAACAGGTGCTATTACACAAAAGCATTATCTAACTTTCCCATGGAAAACGTGCCTCTGTTCTCACTACATTTTCAGCACATCTACTTAAACAATCACCGTTTGACGGGGGAGCATTCTGCCCCTCGGATCCGCCTTGTACAAGACTACCACTGCAGCTGTTTCTGCACACTAACTCTGTTCAGTGTGCACTATCCCCTTGGCACCACTTCCCTTAACTGTGTCTTTGCCGGCTGGGTCGTTTGGGGGGCCCACTCCAAACCTCTAAGGAAAGAAGGCAAATAACAAATACAAACAACACACGAGGAAGGAGTCGTCCTCATTTCATAATGCAGCTTCATTCCAGTGGGCGATATGCCAGATAAATTCTCCCCTCCCCCAAGACGGACAGTGGTCCCCTGGGGCTCTCTGCGCCTTTGTCCAACTGCTGGGGCAGTATAACCAGGAAGGATGCCCACCAATACCTATCTCCACACGAGGTCTACAGCAGGGTGGCTGAAGGATTTGAAACAGGGACAAGGAATTTATTTAAGGGTAGCTCGGGGCTATGTGCTAGCCTGTTTGGCCCCCACAAACTCCTGGTCATATCCCAACACCCCAAGCTCACAACTGGTCCACTCTTCCCCTTCTGTCACTACAGACGGTAAGAGTTCTCTGCACCCCAATGCACAAACACAAAACAGATGCACAACTTCCCTCTTTAATTTTTCTATTTTAAAACTAGCCCTCTTTGAGGATTTCATAGTTTTTTTCTTTTTTTCATTTTACATAGACGTTTAAAACCAAGAGTAAAAAGCCCCATCTGTTCCTCTCATTCAAAAACTCACTCACTGCCATCAGGGTGATTCTGACTCAAGCACCCCCCCTACAGGACAGCTGGGACCTGCCACTGTGAGTTTCTGAGAATACTTTTTTTTTTAATCACTTTATTGGGGGTGCATACAACTCTTATCACAATCCATACATACATCCATTGTCTCAAGTGCATTTGTACATATATTGTCATTGTTTTCAAAGCATTTTCTTTCTACTTGAAACCTTGGTATCAGCTCACTTTTCCCCTCCCTCCCTCATGAACCCTTGATAATGTACAAATTATTATTTTTTCATGTCTTGCACTGTCTGATGTCTCCCCCTACCCCCTTGTCTGTTGTCCACCACCCGATGGGATCAGGTGTCAGGCATCAAAGACCCAGAGCAAAAAATCATAATGTGAATGGGTGTGGACTGGAGGCTCATAGCCAGTCTGTAAGCAATTGGATATCCCCTTACAGAAGGGTCGTAGGGAGAAGACGGGCCAGTCAGGGTGCAGTAAAGCACCAATGAAACATACAGCTTTCCTCTGGTTCTTTAATGCTTCCTCCCGCCCACTATCATGACCCTAATTCTACCTTATAAATCTGATTAGATCAGAGCATGTACATAGGTACAGATAAGAGCTGGAAACACAGGGAATACAGGACAGATAAACTCCTTGGGACCATTACTGAGAGTAGCCATACCAGGAGGGTAAGGAGAAGGTGGGGGGAGAAAGGGGGAACTGATCACAATGACCCACCTATAACCTCCAACTATAGATGGGAGTAGAAAATCAAGTGGCTTCAAATTGCTGACCTTTTGTTTAGCATTCTAACACTTCATCCCCATCACCACCAGGGCTCCTATTCCCTCTTGGTAACCATCCCGTTCCCCTTTGATGGTACAAAGAAAGAGTCCTACATACATGTTAAAGACTAGTCCTTACACAAGGGACGAGGTCAATCCTCCAAGGGACAGACTAAGGCCATGTTATTCCAGTGTTGTCAGAGACTCTGGAATTTGAAGGGAGAACAAAGAGAGTGTGTGTGTTTACAACTTACCAAATCAGTTAGCCCAGCTAATGCAAAAACTCCTAATGCAACATTAAAATCTTCTTCAATAATCAAATAGCCCAAAACTGGAGCTAAGCCAATTCTTGTCATTGACAACATATTTGGGATTGTCCAGGGGTTTTCATACTGAAACATAAAATAACAAAGTTTAAATTAAAGACTTTAGATAATGATGCACACTGGAAAAGTACATTTGATTGGCTTAAGAATCCAAAAGTAACATAGACTCTAAAGTTATTACTTAAAATGAGCTTTTAAAAATCCCTGCCATGGGTGGCATAGCACTACCCCCCACCTTTCATCGTGCTGAGCAGTTATCTATGGGGTCCCCTGCTGCTGCCACCATCAGCATCTCTATAGGGAGGAGCCTCAGGAAGAGGAGGAGGAGGAGGAATGAAGAGGCAGAGCTCAGTAACTTAAGTACAGAAATAAAGGATAAGGAATTTTATGAAACATCTTCAATCGTGTATCACATTGTGTTGCTTGCCATCAAGGCTCTGTGCCCTCGCTATGCCAGTAGCAAGCGTAGATCACAGCCAAAGGATTTGTGAAATCTGAGCTGACAACTTGAAGAGGCACGGAAAACTTGTCAAGTTATACGATTTACTTCTGCTGCTCTGGCAGTTTCCAGGTGTGGCTGCAAGGCTCCCGGAGGACTCAGAGGCAGTGCTGCTGATCAGTACCAACCACTGCGATGTCAGGTGGACTTGGTCCATTACGACTGACATCTGGAGTGAGCAAGGAGAATACCTTCCGGGGACATCAACACGGACGTTTAAGTTCAAATTTAATTGAAATTATGCCTAGGACTTCATAGATATTTAACCACATCCGGTATCCAGTTTAAAAAACCTAAATGGAAGGAACTGAAACCCAGTTCTTTGTAGAACATCTTATGCCACTGAGAGCTGTCCTGCGTGAAGGAGATGATGGCAATCATGTCACAGGGTGGATTACAGGAACATGCTGAGCAGTTAGAGCTGGCATGGACAGGCCCACATCAGACAGCACCTGAGTCAGTGCTTACAGGAATGGACTTTTTTTCTTTCTTTCAAAATGAAACAAGTATAAAGACATTATTATCCTTTTCTCATTTGCTTATATTTTAAGATATTAAAAATCTTATCTCTGGCCTATTCATAGTAGCAAGAAACAAGCCAAATGCTCATGAGTGGAAGAATGGATAACAAAAACTCTGGTATATACGCAAAATGGAACACTGTGCATCCTTAAAGATAACAGTGAATCTGTGAAGCACCCATAACATGGATGGACTTGAAAGACATTGTGAGGAGCGAAAGTAGTCAAACACAAAAGGTCAAATTTGTATAAGAGCATTGCTATTTTTTTAAAAAGGGTGGGGGGTATTCATACCCAAAGAAACAACCTTGAAAGTTAAGGGTGGGAGTGGAGGGGTGGGAAGGAAGGGAAGCAGTCCGCAAGAGGGTAGACAGGTGTTAACTTGGGTGAAGGGGGCAGACAACATACTACAAGTAGGGGGAAGGGATGATGGCACGGGGCCAGCCACAGGGAGGCTCGAGAAGTTATTTGAGTTGTTGACTGTAAATATGAGGATCTGATAGGTGAAGAAAAAAAAGTCTAATCTGTGACAAAAAAAAAAAAAAATCCTTGCAACATTCTTTTTACAGACATTTCTTTCAAATCATGCTTCAAGAGGACAGGAGAGGAAAGTGTTTCATATACTCAGCATACACTCTTAAGCTAAAGTGTCTACTCTGGTGAGGCCTGTTTTCTTCTTTTTGCCTCAAGAGAGAAGGAACCAAAGAATCAATTACCTACTCTAGTATGCTAGACCTTTAATACACGACCATTCAGCAAAGGTCTGAAAACATTCAGTTTTTCAGAGAAACTTCCGAGAGATAAGACACTTCAAATTGTCAGGAAATATTAGGAAATAGCCAAATTAAAAGCCCCAGGCATTTGGGCTTAAAAGGCTTATTGTGGAGATCGTCTTCCCTCATGTCCTACACACACCCATCAGAGAAATGCTGCATGCTGTCAAGAGCCCTGGTTGGGCGGTTAACCACACACAGGCCAGTGGTTCAAACACACCAACCACTCGGGGGTAAAGATGAGGCTGTTTGCTCCCATGAAGACTTAGTCTTGGACATCCGGTGGAGCAGTTCTAATCTACCCTATATGTTCATCATGAGTCAGAATTGACATAGTGGCAGTGGGTTTGGTTTTTTACACAGTGAATGCAGATATGATGAAGGGGGTGAAGGGGAGAGTGGGGGGTAGCTTTAATTCTATAACCTGTCACTAAATTGGAGAATTGCTAGAAGAAAACAGAAAAATAGGGATTGTGAAACTTGGGGAATAGAAGCTTGACAAGTCTGTTCATGAGACATGGAAATATTGTCTTGTTCTCAGTTGCCTCTTTTAAAATATTAAAAGTCTTATCTCTTGCCTATTCATAGTAGCAAGAAGACAGAAACAAGCGCAAAAGAAATGTTAAGGCACAGAATAAATCAAGTACTAGTCCAAAGTCACCCCACCTCCAAACACACACACCAGACAAGGAAATAATGTGAAGACACCCCAAGCCCCAC